CAGTATTCATACCCTTGTATGCAATCGTAAGGCCATCTGCATTGAAGGAACTTCAGGGCTTTAATAAAACCGATTCTTACATTTAGAGATCTGAGTACGTTCACAGTGGACGCAATGACTTGACCATTGTTATGTGCCGATCGTTCCTTTATGCTTTTTATTTGTGGGTATGATATGAATGTCATGATATTTACAGATATCCGTGAAAAGAAAGAATTCGTTGAGTAGACGTCGAAACTGAAATGCAGACATGCAAGAGCGAATAAAATGTGGAAGCTTATTCCATAACTTGCTGTACTGTAACATAAAGGATCGTGACCTGAGTTTAAGGCGGTGATTTCTGCAAGTACAGTGCATTCATGATTGCGTAGACTATATGAGGACATAGGCTTAAAAGTAGGAGAGCAGCAGGCGGAAAAATAAGCCAAGGTTGAGCTTAAGGCGTCTTAGCCAAAGTGGGTCAATTTTTAGTTTCTTACACCTTCCCCCATAATCAAGTTCTTCGTGACGGCCCAGTACATAGCGGGTAAACTTTCTTTGAACATTCTCAGATGAAATGTATTTCTCGTGAACAATGTGAAAACCTCCTGATTTCCTTTTTGTCGATAGTGCTATCTGACTGTCTAGTTATGGAAATGTATGTATGACAACTCGGAAGAACTGTATGACTAGTGATATATGGGGTCGAAAACTTTGGGTCAACCAAGCGAAGAGTGGAATATTTCACGAATAATTTCTGGCAAACTCAGGGAACTGTGGACTTTCCTGTCGAAAACTTAGGCGGCTCAAGAACTGTCTGCAATAAATCTTGGGCATACCAAGTGAACTGTGGGACGGCCCGGAGTTTACTTTAGGCTAACTTGAGGAACTGCAGAGCGGCCCATAATAAATTTCGGGCTAACTTAGGGAACTGCGGAAAAATCTGCAGAATACTTCGGGAACTGTGGAAAAAGTGTTGCGTCGCCTGGAGTTCTTTAGCCCAGATTAATCCCTAAGCCACCGAGTTAGCCCTAAGTTTATGCCGGCTGGGAAGATCCGTGTATTTCATATAGTTACTTATTCATACCTGTGAAAATGGCGTGTGACTGTTTATTCAGGAATAAATATTATATTATTACCTTGGGGCACTAGGGTCCCTCAAAGCAATCTCTGGGCGCGTCTGTTTCGAGACATCCACCTACAAACAGACTGTAGATATAATCTGAACCCTAAAGTAAGTTGGTAGGCCACTTAAGCTGCTGCACAGAAGTACCGCTCTCTTCGGATACGGTAAGGATATTCCACGTCAAGCTATAACGTGTAGTGAAGAATTTGTATCTGGCCTGTTCACTGCGTCTGTCTGCCGCTAAGATGAATTTATGGTTTCTGAGGTCATTAAGAAGTGCAGTTCTTCAAGCGGGTTTGGAGAAGCAGTTTGAAAGACCTTGCAAAACTTTCTATGAGAGAACCAAGTAGCTTCTTAGATGCTGTTTTTGTAGTGGCCCAACTGACAGCACAGTACGTGTACCCATATGTTTGCAGTGTCAGTGCCGCTCAGTAGTCGTCTGGCGAAACATTTTTATGTGTATACAAGTCACGATTTGTCAACCGTGTTCATGCCAGAGAAACGAATGAACCATATTCCAATATCAGCCCAACGCAAACCTTAAGAATAGCAATTTCGGCCTCTTTTGTATGGAGGCGACAGAAAATACCTGTTAATCTCCCAGCGTTAGAGACGACAGCTGAGACATATCCAGTGAACTTAAGATTACCAGAAAGTCAGACACCCATGTCGCGTACCCTTGTGAGCGCTTGAATTTTGCAGTCTCCCAAATGCAGCGCGACGCTGGGGTAACTTTCTCCGGGGTGGAGAATCATACATTTTGCACGATTGAACTAGAGTGGCCATTTATCAATGCACTCAAGTGGATTATTTAGGCCGGCCTGAGGAATTGATAAACCCTCAGCATTTGAGTCGCACTTCGGGCTGTGCACAGTCTCGGAGTGGTCCGCATTAAGATATGGTCCTCTATGCCTGGCCACGTTGGGTGTGTCAATGGTATGGGTGAGAAAAAGAAGTGGACCAAGCAAACTTCCCCTCAGCGCACCGCTTGTAATTGATTAGGGGCCTTAGAATCAGTCGTTTAACTTAATTATCCGGGAACGTCCATCAATTAACATTTTCAACCGGCCATATAAGGGTGTTGCCACCCAGAGTGACCTAAGCATCGTAAACAGTCCATGATGCGGGACTTTGTCAAATGACCTCTTGACGTCGAAAAACAGCAACAGAACCCTTTACTCACGCCTTTGGACGATATATTGAGGATATTCTCGTATCAGGGTGCCACAGGATCTGACCGTCTCTGCTAGATAGCAACTCCAACCCGTCCTTCGATGTCAACAAAAATTCGCTATCAAATATCTTTCGCATGCGTTGGCCTTCAAAGATGGCTTGACTCTGCTTGACAAATAAAAGTGTTATTGTTGATGCTATAAATCTTGCCCGACTTAATCTAGCATTCTGTCACTGAAAAAACCGTCGTGCCGATCTCCGACATTATAAAGGACCCCAAGGTTTTCCACGCGACATTGAGGTAAGGCCTTCGCCCGGCTTGCTAAGCATCCGGGCAACTGGTAATCTGAACGTTTTCCTAATTCACCAGGTCTTTCCTTAGCTTATATGACACGTCAACTTCGGGCAAATGGTTTGAAAGCTATGCTGTTCGTTGTTAGACGCCGGTTCATTTATGCTGGTCAAATTGGTATGACAAGTAACCTTACTAGACATTTGAGCAACTGGACTCACTAAGCAAGTAGGACAACAGTCAGACGCTGAAGACATGTGGACACACTGGCCCAACGGACAATGAAGTCTTCAAGCGTTTATGAACATGCTACTCCCACCCAACTGATTTATTTGGCTGAACCCGATTTTCCCTTTTTGGAGTCTCATACTTTCACCCAGTTTCCGTTTAATCGTCATGCCGTTTGGATCGTGTTTGGTATTCTTTATTAGCCAATCAATGGTTGGAGCCATGCAAACAGATCCGAGGTCGGTGGTTGTGAGCACAGGAAAAAATTTAGTGGACCATTCGCTTTGCATAGAGAGCCGTTTTAGTTCTTCGCTATAATTAGGTTTGAACTGTTCGGGTGATAGCTACGAACACTTGACAATCCGGTGCTCAAGCACTGCACATCCGCTACGTAAATGCTCTGCCGAAAACCAAAAGGGTTAGGGGAATAAAGTAAATAAATGAAGACTTTAGATGTTTTATGGAGTTAATAAGGCTGACAAATTTCAGGTGAATCTCCAAGCATTGGGAAAAGGTGCTTGGATTTTGGCGATATTTCAAGCAAAATCAGTGAGAAAGATGGCAACAGTAACTAAAATCTCTCAATCATGCATCGATAATATGTTTCTCATGTCCAGTGTTTTCAATGCTTTGGCTATCTTGCTCAACCACTATAATGCTTTATTTGGTCGAAAGCCAGGAATAATAACCTTTTTCGCATGTTTCGTCTGGATATCTGAGAATACCTATTCACTTGTCAATCTTCCTTCCTATCTGTTTTACGGTGAACCTCATTAAGTTTGCAGTTTTCTGATCAGGAGAACGGTTTTTATTCAGTTCGTGGGCTGCCACCGATTAAAACTTACAAATTCGCTTAATATGTTTGTAGGGGTTCCCTAATTTCAAGGCACTATTCATTACGGACTGACACCGATTGCAGAACCATTGCGAACCTGATGGTGCCGGTCAGTTATCTCATTCTGGCATGGAAATCTGTAGTAGTGTACGCCACTCAGCCTGCCGGGGTCGAACCGGGCCTTAGGTTTTTGCGACTAGCGCATCAGGACCAAGCCACTGGGTTGGAACCCATTCAGTTTGCATTTTCCTGCTTTTGCCAGTTCTAGCGGCTTGCAATGTTGTGACCCAGTAAGCTGACTCTTAGTTGTTTTTCGACGTTTTTTAAACATGGCTAGATATTTTGAATTTCGACACTCAGGACAGTCAACAAGTGATATTCAAGGGATCAGATGGCTATTCTTTTTTAACTAGAAAATTAGGTGGACTTCAGTTATTTCTTGTCTGACCTTTTGAGTTAAATGCATTCCCGATACATATACTTTAAAGGTTTGTTTTAGTACCTTCCATATGTGGTAAGACTGCTGTCTCCGCGATTGCATTCCGAACTTACTTATACTGGTATTTTTTGTTTTTCGTTTCTGTTATTGCCTTTCGAGGAGTTTTCCGGATCGAAGCGTGCTTTATTCCCTTGGAAACCAAAATTTCAGACTAAGGAGGACACTCCGTGACGATTTGGTTGTAGTAACTTTCACACAGGTTTCTAGTCATTTCCATCGCAAAAGCTGTCACTAAACTTTATAGACCCCCTAAAAGTAAATTATTTTCACGGTCAACTTTAACATTTGTCTCTTATTCCTTTCCTTTGACAGTGGTTGGTCAATACCCACTTAAATTCAGGAAACTAAGGAGGTATTCGATGAAGACACATAATGCCCTTTCCCCCCTGGGCACACTTTCTATCATAATATATACATTGCAGCACAGGACCACTGTTTCGCCATAGTGTGGGACTCCTCAGCTTTGTGCGGCTATGACCCTGCCAGTGGTAGGACCTAGGACCTTCAGGTCGCGCATTCAGACCTGACCTTTGCACTCAGAAGGAGAGTGTAGTCGGTCTCTCACTCGCTTGGCGAATGTGATTTGATCCTATTTCATTTTAATCGCACGAATCCTCATCCTTCTATGATCCTTCTTGCTTTCCTACTTCACTCACCTTAAATTTAATCCCCATGCACGCCATATGGGTTGTCAATGACTTTGAGACTATTGGTTCCTAATTATGAAATTTCTTATATCCGGATGACCACAGAGCTTTTAGACCATGTTAAGCTGAAGAGTTTTCATGAAAAAATAGTATTACCTTATCCTGTAAATTTCGTCCTTCATGTTTTAACCTAACGTTGAACATTGAGCTGGCGACCTAGTGCTGTTTGGTTGTTTGTAACCTTCGCTCTGGCGGCGAAAATGTGTAAAATGATTTGGGAGGAGTAATGTCGTTTGCCTTGCTTAAAAAAGCCTTCGGCATTGGAAAGGCAACCGATGAAAAGGAATTTGATGAATTTCTGAGAGTTTTTGACGGGAGCGATGCTGTTCATATTGGGTATGTTAAATACATGCATAACTGACTGAAGCATGTTTCAGGCACTTGAGTAAACTGTTGAAGAAGAAGGCTGTTCGTTTGCTGGTCTTGAAAAATGAAGACTCAAGCGTCATTTTCGACTCTGCAGCCCAAAAGGTACTTTCCGTCGCGATGAATGACTTGTATTTAAGGACTCTTTGAAGTCTGCACCCATACTGAATGTTGGGCGTCAGCAGCTCAACCTTAGGGATATGGCCTTTGGTTCTTACTCACTAAGCAATCGATTACCATTACTGTTTTCAACAAAAATTCACGACATGAGGTAGCTATGTTGCCATACTTACGCGAAATTTAGTTCCACTGGTCAGATGTTATTTACCAGAGTTTTCAGTGATCTTGATGAATGGTAAGCATCAGTTTGTCGAAAGATATTTTTTTCTCAGGCGTAAACTGTATTTGAACAGTAGACGGAACTCGTGGGTCGGACGTGGGATTTTTAACACTGGGAGCACTGAGTTAGTAAGTTAAACCGCTCCTGTGATTCTACTTCGATTACAGAAGCACGATGTAGGGAGTTACAGAACTTTGGCAGTTTGTTTACTCATTAACTTGGATTGGTGCACGTCCTCAGGTGGCTTGTGTGCTGGTAAAACTACTGTTGTTTCAAAGCCCCACAGTCGTCGGAATTTTTCACACCTGTTTAACACCGATACAACCAGCCAAACAGTTGTTCAGCCAACTTTGGATAATAGTTTGAAGATATCAGCGTTCTCCGCGAGGCGTTTCTATCACATGCTTTTTGAGCACTGGACTCAGTTAAGCTTGTTGTTAGAGATACTAACAAACGAGTGTGCTGTGGCAGTTTGTAATAGCACTCGGAATTGCTGGGGAATGCACAACTTCGTACCTGAAACACATTGCACAGACGTAATAGCAAAGGCGTTCAACAGTTTTTTGGATTATTTTCGAGACCTGTGCTTGCCTAAGCTGTCTTTCCCAATTTGGCCTACTTTGAATGTCACATTGTCAATCGGTTCTGACTCCCTACCATCTTACTTTGAGCGATCCCGTGCCGATTGTGTTGCTTATTGGTTGAACATGGATCCCAGTTATTGCCATTCACTACCAGCTGATTGCACTCAAGTTTCTAAGGATAATCTCGCTGACGTATTTGTGAGGTCGTGTTTGGTACCGCTGATGATAAGGGGAAACAGTAAAGAGCATCGAAGGTGGGTAAACGTACATCATACTCCTTTGTGTAACATTATGAGTAGGTGGGATTCTGATTGCTATATTTTCTTGTTTCTAAGTTTGTTAGACTTTAAAGTTTATGTTTAACGCATAGGACACCTCACCAGTACATTCATAGAACAGCGACTACTCCAAAGGTCAAATAACTAGTCAGACAGCAACTCATTGTATTTGGAGACTGTTGAATAGACAGACGTAGGTGTGAACGCCATTTAAATGAGTGGATATAAATTAATTTCCCCAACTATCACGCAACGATCAACTTGGGGCTCAAGTTGGTACAGGTATATGTGCCAGTTTGAGTCTACGCTGCTCTCTGATTTTCCAGGTCAAAGTTGACAGTAGGATATGAGTCCCGAACCCACTGCTTTAGTCGAATGGTTAAGTCAGTGAGCCCTATATATATGGACACATTCTGTTACCTATGATACATCTTTCCTTACCCACATCATTCTGGGTAACAGTCATACCATTTGCTGATGTCGAGCAATGTATCCTGCATCCGAATTTCATCCCACCTAGTTCGGTCTGAGGAGATGGCCAGGAGTATAACCCCTCGAAATAAGTATTCCTCTTAATTCAATATTCAAATTTCAACAGAGCAGACGAGTTGCATTGTTTTATCTTTATATTTTTATGGTAACTTGAGTCGACATAGGCCAGATTCCACTTTATTATTGACAAAGATTGTGTGATACGGCCGCACTCCCACTCTTGTGAAGACTGCTGAGGTATTGGTAATGTCTTGTCCTTCTGAGTGATAGGTGTTGACATATAAACCCAACTATGAAGAAGACAACTAGACAGTTTCATCACCCATTACATCGGATTGTTAGATTACATTCTGTCTGTAGCTTGTGAACTTGACCAATACATGAAAAACAAGTAGACTTCAGACAACGATCAAATAAAGATTAGATGATGTGCGATGGAATGTGATTGTCAGTTCAATTTGCTTATGAATTATGAGACTGGGTCAACGAGATATTAATAATTGGTCAGTATTATAACCCGCCTCGCTAAGTGTATTCCTGCTTGGTTTATTTTTTACTGAAATATTCACATTTTCTGTTTAAATGATCAAATGTTCAAAAATGATCATCTTGAGGGCTACATGTATGTGCTGTGCTTTTGATTAACAGTCTAAATTAAATTAAAAAGTGGGAGATAGAGCTGCTGGACTCATCTCATATGTTGGATTTTGTACAGAACTCAGTGACACTGCAGATATGATAGCTAATTTCCAAGTACCGGGACTGTTTTGAGATTCGTGGTGATGGTCACAGTATAGTGCAGCACGCTGCCTAGTTCTCTCAGTGACCGACCTATTTGTGGTATTACGATTTTTAAGAATTGTGTGGTTCGCACAGATTCCAACATCTAGTTTTACAACTTAGAATGGATGTGTTTCACAATATCAACTTGTTTGAATTGTCACTGATCGATTAGGCCATTTCGAAACAGAACTAATTGCATTACTTGTTTAACAATATTTTCCATCAGTCATTTTCGCTTCAGTATACATGATGGTGCATACTGCGTAGTTTTATTTGAACCTCAACTAGTGCCGTGTTCTGCTTTACTACATATACACTATGTATATTTCAGTGAACTTTTGAAAAGCACTTTCTTCTGGGATGTGCTAGTTGATCATAGAAATACGCATCATGGTCAGCAACAGTTTACTAGTGGTGATCATCCTGGGTATTACGTTTTCGAGGTTGATTTATCAATAACTTCTTATCAACTTGAAAATGGTCACCAGTCATGTAGTGGTAATTTTTTTATTATCCCTGTTTGACGTTTAATTCTTCACTATGTGTAGCACTACTACGGGACACCCAAGTATTTCCTGGAAGATCCACTACGTGATGGTTCGTAAGATTTTCATTCATGGACTGACATCAGTTGGAGTAAGATTGAAAACCTAGGAGCATCGACCAGCTATGAACTAACAGAAGTAGAAAATTTGGACCATCGGATACCGACCCAATGGCTCAGTAGTAACGTTCTGACCACAAAACCTGAAAGTCCCGGGCTTGGTCCCTGGTGGGGTGAGGTCATGGGTGTGCGCTGCCGCGGAGTCTCATACTCGGTCGAAACACCTGTCCAGTGCTTCCAGGTTCCCAATGTTTCTTTAATTGGTCTCAGCCTATGACGAATGCCAACCTTAAATCAATAAATAAATCCCCGCAAACCTCAAAATTATAATAATATTTCGTTGCTAGAAAGGTCGTTCGTCGATAATTAGAATTATTCAAACCCCTTCATCATGGATTAACATTGGTAAACGGTAGCATGCTCATTATAGAACTTGATGATCCTAGGATTGATCTCGTCAGATCGCAGGTGCTCATTTCTAAGGCGCCGTAGACATATACTGTAGTTTTCTAACTCATGTCATTCCGTGATGAAAGCTACTTCCTGGTCAGGTAATCTTTACCAACCACCAGTTGAGTTCTTAAGACTGCATTATTAGTACAGCAGATCAACTTACCAGTAATCAACTAATTAAAATCACCTATATAATAATTTTAATTAACGTCATAAGTGTCACGAATGTCCTGTGTTTCTGCTTTTGCTCTTCATCGTAGCGGCTGGCAGATTCACTGTTGTTCGTCCAGTTGCAGTCCTAATCTCACTGTTGAATATCCGAGATAGAAAACAAGTTAGAGACATTGTGTGACATTCCAGCTACGTAGTATGCAGATAACTGAGTTTAAGTGAAGTCAGGTTTCATGGATTTTAACACACGGTTATTATTAAGTCGTCAATAGATGACTTACCGTTTTTCAACGCACCATCTATGTTGTTGCTACGGTGTTGACTAACAAGTTAAGCCAAAACTAATTGTTCGCTGTTAACACTGCATAGAACTATAGACTTTATTAACTGACGAACACTGATTATATTATACATATCGGTGTGAAGATTCCCATGTCGCATAAAAATTTTCATACCCAGATACCTTATATAAAACTGCCAAATTCCTTTGAAAAATGTTTTATGCGTTTACTATGACCTAATTGTAAACGTGTATCGACTTACCCTTCATTACAGACTACCAATATTTTCAAGAGCACCCATCAAAGCGAAATTAAAACAGACACCATTTGATTAAACTGGTTTTTAGACCAATTATAACCTAAATTATTTAGTGCTTTTAATGTCAATTGAGAGATCTCAGTATATTTATCTTACTCGCAATGACTAGACAAAGAAGTAACATCATGATGAACTCCCTGTGTAAAGTGCTATATGTTTGTTAATGAATTGGAAATTGATTGTATGATGTCTGGTTTGTACAGCTACTCCAACTCAACCTGAGTGGGTAAGTTTGGCTTGATCCTGTGACTTCATGAATGAGGGTCGAACTAATAAACGAGTCAGTTGTGAATTCGTTAGTAGCAGAAGTACAAATCGGAACTAGTAGTTATGATGTGATTTATGAAACTGTAGAGGTCCATCACTTGGGTATGTGTTAATTAGGCTTTATTTTTTTGTCACCAGTCGTTTTCATTAGAAATCCTTGTAAAAATATATTAATTGGTTTTAATTTTAGCTTTCTCAGTCGTTTGCTCACTGGCATTCTAATGTTTCATACGGGTTGGCTTGATGGCATTTCATCCAAAGGTTCATGTTCCGATTCGGTAGGTTTATTCTACTTATATCCATCCCACCAATCGTTTTTACAGTAGGACATTTCTATTTATGAATTTTGACAGAATGGGAAGACGTAGTTTATCTAAAAGAGTCAACGCATCTGATCAGTACATTTCGTAAAGTCTGGTCACACTCATAACTGTCATGCATATTTATATGAAAGGTAGCAGAGGACAAAGAAGTTGTAAAAGCGGAAATGGGATGGTCTCGAACCATTAGTTTGGGTATCAAATCACATTTTGAAAAAAACCTGTTAATTACCCTTGTTATCAAAGCTAACCCCACTGACCCAATTAATAGATGCTCGGTTTCGTCTATAGCAGAACATTTCATTGAGATTGGTTACTATGCTGATTTATACATTACCTTCCAAATCTATACACAAAACCTATTGGGGGGAAAACACGCGAGTCTACTGAAACATTGTATGTCAGAAGTTTAAGCTCTTGTATTAAAAAGTTCGCTGTCGCGTTATACTTCCCTTTGTAATTCACCCCTAGTATTGAGGGTTATTTAAGTATTATCCCTTTCCATGTCTGGTTTGACATGTAAACCAACAGTCCGAGTCCCTTTTGTTCCGGGTTTTCCAAGCTCTGTCCTTTATTACCTTTCACATAAATATGCTTGACAAGTACTTGTGTGACCGGATTGTCCTAATTTTATCGACCGGGCACATTGGCTATTTCAGACAAATTACGCATGACTGATTTTATGTTGGTATAATCGTAATTTTGTCAACTTATCACACTAGTATAGTAACATCATATATTTAGCAATGCCTATGTATCCATTTCATCTTGGTTTGACCCATTTCGAACGGAAACCGGGATCCACCTAACAAACGTATCCGCATTCGTGCAGCAGACAATGAGCCATACCTATTTTGTAACGGCTAATGATACTACCTCATTAACCGAACCTCGGTGAGTGGGGTGGTGTTCGGACCCATGACCCAATGATTGACAGTCAACTCCCTAAACAAATAAGCCACAACTACTGCAACGCAGTCGATAGTTGCTGCTCTGACGTGGTAGTCAGGCTTGCATAACAAGGTAACTCAGTGGTATATACTAGTTGCAGCAACTGTTCCTTGAGGTGCTATCAAGCCAGAAGGGTCTGTTGAAAGTAGTAAGACAAAAAGCAATCTCCATTGTAGTTTCGATTACGCTAGGATAGTGGTTTAGGGGCGAAGTTGTACTGCTGACTAAATGGGTATGCGACAACAGAAAGGTGTTTCCCGTGGATGACCATCAACCCATGCTGATGTTCTTTTCCCTATGGGAGGAAGGGTTTAAAAAGTCTTGATTCTAAAGTGAGTATAATCCTCGCTGCTTTCCGGTCTTTTGGTGCTAGAAGTATAGGTTTTTCTTTCTCGGGCTAGTACGACCAACTTTCATTCCACGAATGTTAAGCAAGCCGCCTGTGTCTGGTCTCGAGTAGATATTCTTTTATCTCTGTGTTCATGCACCACTTATCAATCCAGTTTCTTTCAGACGAACTGCGTAGACAGTTACCAGAACGGAACAACACTATTCCTCCTGAAGTCTGGAGCCATATCCATTCCGCTGTACGAATAGTGTTAAAAACCGTAACTTACTCTTGGCAAACGTTTAGGAAATGTCAGTCAATCGTAGCGGTTCCTTTCGAATTAATGGATGCATGTGAACGCACCCCTATGGAGTCTGAACGCAGGTAGCATCAGCTCAAATATAGATTGATGGGTCTACTCAATGACCGAGCGCGGAGGCTTTAAACGACTGAGGTGATGATTAACAGTAGACAGTTATTTAGACTTATCAATGAAACTGGGGTGAAAAGGTCAATGGTTAGTGAGACTAGCAAAGGAAGATAAATCTGCGATTCACCTATGGACGACTAAAAAAATGGACAGAATACTTCGAGGAACAGTTCATCTGTCCTCAAGCTACTATTTCTCTTCCCGCTATCCAGCTGGCTTGTGAATTTAGTACAGATAGGCCTGCCAACTCATGGAAGTTGCGAAGGCTGTAGGTAACATGTCTCGGGTAAGGACAGCAGCACTAAATGGGCTAGTACTGAAGGTATTTAAGAAAGGTGGTGGTTGAGGGTTATTGGTCAGATTAACTGGTGTTTTAGCTAGCATATAGTAAGCAAATATGATCTTTTTTGACTAGTCTGAATCATTTTAAATGCTATTATTACATTTAAGGGAAAGATTATAGTTGCTTTTCATATAAGAACTAATTACGATCCATGGTTCACTTTGTCCTCCATGAAACATTCGAATAAAAATATACCACGGCGAGCATTCACAGGTAGTTGACACTTTGGGAAACCATATGATAGAGCCAAACTACTGACTTGTTACCTATATTTAGATAACCTGACATGTTTATTTTTTTAAAGTTAACTGTAATTTTTATCATTTCAGGAAAACAGTGCTAGAAGTTCATCGAACAACAGAAGTGTACACACCAGTTTACTAGATCAGTTGCTTACTCAGATAGGATTCATACCCATAGAAACGGATAGAGTATCTGGAAATATCTTCAACTGTACTGTAATTTCTGGTCAATCTCGTGCTTACTTAATGGCTCTGCTGTATTTCGCCACCTATTTTTTGAGATTTATATGCTTGACGCATACACAAGAATGTGTCCCAGAACTTGGACAAGCGGATCTTTTTGAATTGGAACAGCAAAAACGTAGGGTGAGAGGCTTGTTTTTTTCTTTTCAAAATTATTCATTGTTTATTCTTCAGAACACGAATGTTTGTTAAAAAAAATCTTCCTTTTTTTCACCAAAGATTTTGCTTTGACTCATCTGTTGTCACTAATTTTAACTGGTTGAGCGTTCTGTTCTTATCTTGAGGTTCCTACACTTCCTGTAAACCCGTTAACTGTGCTTAAAAGCTTAGATAATGTTCTTTTGTCCAGTACTGCGTGGTTGAGTGACCTGGTTTTGCCAGGCATTATGTTGTTTGTGGGTATTTAGTCCGCTGGACAATTGTCGCAATCCATTTGGTTCCTTCGGTAACGTGAATAACTCGACAAGTAGATCTCAACTAAAGTAAATTACTCGCCATGAACAACGCCGAATCACGTACATTGCAACGGTCCCACTACTTTTACATACAAATAACATCAAGGATGCAGTATACTACTGTAGATTTTTAAACATTGGTTCCTTAAAGTCATGAACCTCTCAGTGAGATACCCTACAATTTATGACATGCCTCATACCACCAGCAGGGGGACTTCATAGATTATCTTCATATCTTTCAACCTAATTTTATTCCATTTGTGATAGCTTGCCAGTGTATGCAGTAAGTTAGTATCATTGACTGCCTTGTCTTTCCTACCGAAAACTGCACGCAGCATCAGCATATCAAATTCGCTGATTGCTGGATTACTAGAATATTTCTATCTGGAAAAATTTAACTTCATATCGCCAACCTTAGACGACCATACCATAAAGGCAGCATGGGCTGCTGCACAATACACTCATCCTTTGATAAACAGTCAAATATCGTGCCTGTGGCGTTGATGGTTCACGTTGACAAATGTAAAACAGATAATCATGTATTCCGTAATTTCATCCACAATCAGCTTATTAGAGATGTCTTAATTTTCCATGTAAGTGAAGTTGTCGATATACTGAACTTCTCAGGACACCCAGGGATTACATTTTGTCATCATTTTCACCTAACAAGAGTGGATTACTACCAACACTTTTCAGATTGCTTTTAAGTAAATGCTATACATTTATTGATCTACAAACAAACCCTAGCGAAAATGTTATGCGGTTACCGTTAGCTGTTGCGTCATATGTATTCCAATCTGAAGTGTTTAATTTTTACAACCAGGTTTTGTGATCACAGTTGTTCGTTGACGATAGTCGTAGTAATTTTTGGCTTCTTGAATGTTGTTCCAGAAAAACATAATGTCCAACGAATATCTTTCAACCATATGCCATTGGCGCGGAATCATGCTCCTGTCCACCCCAAGCAAAATATTAAGCCGTACCATCTAGGAGAGACTTAAAAATGCTCTGGATTCAAAATTACAACCAGAATAGGCTGGCTACCAGGCTTCAGGAAAAACAAATCATGTGTGGATCAAATTGAAACACTACACTTCATACCATCATACAACACACCACAGAATTACAGTCAACTCCTCACCTCAACCTCAACTTCATAGACTTTGAAAAGACCTTCGACAGCGTCGACCGAGAAATAATTTGGAAACTGCTGCTTCAGCACTACGGTTCTAGTGCCACAAACCTTTGTCAACCTCATTCAACAGCAGCTATCTACTATGCTATATGATGCTACATGTCAAGTAATTCACAATGGAAAGCTCACTGATGACTTTGAAGTCAAGATAGGAGTAAGACAAGGTTGCCACCTAATATCGCTGGTCATCTTCCTGATTGTGGTCGACTGGACTGGATTATGCAGCAAACAACTGTGAGGAGCTGTGAGAAGATCGGCAAACGCTGTCTGACCGATGAAAAGACCCTGGAAAATTTGGATTTCCCCGGTGATGATTTATGTCTAGTGTCTTGTCGCATAAGCCCTATGATCCACAGGCGGAAATCAACAAGTTGACAGAAGAGGCAGGCCAGCGAAGAAGGGAGTTTCTTCAGGTGAACATAGACAAGACAAAGGTGATGAAGGTACCCAACCAACAACAATTACCGATCACTATCAACGGGAGAAACCTAAAGGAAGTTGTCCACTTCACCTACACCTACCTAAGCAGCATCATTTCAACTACAAGTGGCGGCACAGATGAGGATGTCAAACCAGCCAGGATAGGAAAGGCATCAAGACAGGCCTTCCTGCATTAATCTCAAATCAACCAGTGTGGAGATCTACACTCCACTTCACTCAGCATAAAACGTGGACAAGATCTGGATTTCCAACACTAATTCAGTCAAGTCAGTCAGTGTTTCTATGTGATGGTTGAGAGACTTGGTGCGTTGCGAAAAGCATTTCCAACAAACTAAAGACATACATGAACAGCTGTTGTCTACGCTCACTCGATACTGGAGATCAGATCAGATGGCCATATAGAATAAGCAACAAGGAACTCTGGGAACGAATCAACCGAGAACCTATCGCCCAACAAATATGCTGTAGAAGAAAGTGGAGATGGATTGTAAATACACTGAGGGGACCGATTGGGGACATCACACGCCAGGTCAGGCCAGGTCGTCGAGTAGAACCCAAAGGGGAAACGACGAGTTGGGCGTCCCAGCGGAGGGTGACATGGAGATGATGTGAGGAAGAAATGAAAGCCTGTGGGCAGTCGTGGAGTCAAGTTGAGAAGACTGGAGAGGCGCGAGGGAAATGGCGACTTGCTACTGAAGCCCTATGTTCCACTTGGAACCCAAGGGAAAAATAATAATAATAATAATAATAATAATAATAATCAATATGTCATTGGCTAAGGTCTTATAGGAATTACTTACAATGTTGCGGAGAGTATTTGTATCTTTTAACCGTTCTCAGGTTCAATGTCAAGTTGAGTGACATGCTAGCTACATGAAATCATTGATAAACCATCTTTTCAGAATGAACTCAGAATCTAATCTTTGTACTTAATCCCCCATAGCTGACATCTCAGGGTGTAATGTTAGTGCTTCAGTATCATCCGTAGGAATTCGCTTTTACACATGCACTATATGAAGTAGGCGTAGTTATATGATAAGATAAAATATCAACTATTGAAGTGAATTATTTACATAGTGTACTTCCACATTTGTGATTATCCTAAGTTTTATTTCAATTGCACATAAACTACCTCAGATCATGTGAAAAAATGATGCTTTTCATTTCTCACTAACGTGTGTACAATAAGTGCTTCTTATCTCTATCTCTTCCTAACTACTGTTGTTTAGTGGTATGCTGAGTTGTACTTTATCTAGGTTCTCATTGCTTCCTCGCTTTAAAATAGTTTGAAGACATCTATCTTGTATACAAACTCTTCTAAAATTTTTGTTAAACAATCTCGTCACTTTTATCAATGTATGATTCAAACATGAACATTTCAGATGTCATTATCCTATCGCTTCAGCGATTTCATATTACTCTTCTTATAGGTGACTTGGTAATTGCGCTTTTTTTTTTTCAAAGCCAAAATTCGAGTCTACTACTGTAGAATTTGAACGTATCTTATTCATTGATAGAACGCTTACAATTTATGTATTTTTTGTTTTCAGACTCGACTGGGTGGTAAAACCCGTCGCAAATCTGGTTCCGCTACTATTAATAGCTCAACAACTAATTGCAGTGGTGATGCAAATGATTCTGGTATCAGTTCTCAGGAGGATTTGACTTCTGTGGTTTATTCGGCAAGCACAGGATCGTCGCCTACACATGTTTCTGGCATGGCATTATGCATGACTCGTCGACTGACACGTGATCAGTGTCGAGTGGCGGAAGCGGCTGCTCATTTAGTGGTCACTCGTGAGGCTGCAGCAGCAGCAGCGGCTGCTGGGCCAACCAGTTCCTTCATGTCAGTTGGTGGAACTCGGTAAGAATCCATATGTATGTTATTATTGTATGTATTTACGTTTTTTAGTTTTTGTCGTACAATATTTCGGAGGTTAGTCAGGATTTGAGTTTTTGCAGATAACTTTGAGAGTCATTATTTCAATTTTATTTTCAGCGAAAATCCGGTACAAAATCGGCAACAAATAATGTTTCACACAAATTTACATATAAGCACCATAGAGTCAAAAAAGGAGAAATAATATGCGACGAAGAAAAGTAAAGAGGTAATCTGTTCCAATTTTCACAAATAAAAGATAAATGAAAAACAAAACACGACAACCACTAGTTTAACTTCTGAGTCAGCCAGTGAGTCATATGATCCTAGTGGCAGTGTTTTGGATACTCAAGATCAATAAATCTTCAGAAAAGTTACAAGTGGACGACAAAGCTTATAACATATCACTTTTTGACATAACTCATACATTTGAACTGAATAAAAGGGGAGTTTAATATGGCAATCATGTGTTGGTTCATTTTATTTTCACTAATCATGGGTGCTATCTGGGGATAATTAGTAGACGGAGTGGAGTTCAGACCCAAAGCATTAGTTAATACATTCCTACTAACTAAAAGTGCAACGTATTGGTTTTTTCCAGGTAGTATCTTCGTTCTAAAACTATCTATCCAATGTTCATCGGTTATTCATCTTCAATTTTTGGAAGTCATCGCAAATCTGCATAGTGAAACTGTTGAGATTCTCGATTACAATTAATTGGGCACACGTAATCTAGTTATTGGACTAAAGGTGCGATACATACAACTGGCCTGGGTGACACCAGAATGAGACGAGTGTTAGACTTATATTAGTTTGCTACAGTTGAAGTATGATGGTAAGATTCAGGGACCCATCTCTTTCGTCTGTGTACAATGCAAATACGCTTGGGGCGAATGGATAAGATAGCATGTTAAAAGTACGAGGTTAACCAATACAAAAAAAGCGTTCTTAAAAGCGGTTAATTTGAACAACACACATGGGGCGGATAACACGGTACAAATTTTCCGTAAATATGTAATGATGTTATTTTTAAAGTTGTTCACCAAAAACTGTCTATTTGCCATGTCACTGCTTGACTGGAATTTTCTCACAACACTTATTAATTATCTGTTACAAATTAGTTTATTTAAGTGTTGGATCATGCAAAGTTTTGCTATCTATCAATGCTATGCTCTATGCTTTCACACAGTTATTATCATTATTTTTCATGATAGTTCATCCCATTCAAATGACATGGGGTTATCAGATGTTAATAATAGCGGTTCTGGTCCATCTAACTCACCGCGTTCATATCGATCTCGATATACTGAAGTTCCATTGCTGATTGAGTAAGTAGATCCTTATTGTCTAGGCGTTTGGTAGTCTGTTTTTCAGGTTGTTTTCACTATCCAAATGCTATATACCCTTAATTTTGCATAGTTTTTGCCTACTGTCTTGCCCATGACCTTGAAATAACCTATATGGCTGTTTTCCCTCTGCTCCCAAGGCTAAACTTTTATTGGTTGTTAACTATTTTTACTTATATGTGGATTTGGCGTTGTCAGGATCATTTAGAAATGTATATATATTCAACATCGCTATCAACTGTATTAACTGTTGTTGACACAGTAAAAGTTCTGTAACAACGGTTCGTCTTCTCTTCTTGTCTTCGCTTATCGGTGGTATTGTTGTTGTGGTGGTTAACGTTCTGATTTCGTTAGAGTCGATTCATTGGCGCGTTAGGTTCGTATCGTTCATAATCTGCTAGGCTTCTATTGTTCCTAGGTTGTTAGTTTATACTACTAGTCATAGGACTAAAAATATTCAGCGCTAAACGTTTTGACACTCTTCACTTCAGAACTTTGACATTTCAACTACAAAGCACATCAATGATAGTAAATATTCTTATTTGCTGCCTAACACATGTATAAAGATTACTTTGTAATACACGATAGCTTAGGAATCTTTAGTTATTTTAATATAAACTATGATCAAGATTTGATTTTATAATAAGGAAAATATTGGGCGCTGAGTAAAAGGTTGACATTAGATATAGATTGTATTTGTGTAAGTCACAGAAACATTGGAATAATTTGATTTCAAACCCGCTGTGACTTACACAAATACAATCTATATCTAATACCATCTTTAGTTACTGCCGAGTTTTTTAAGTGACTTTACGTAAGACTGACTGCTTAGTTGTTAGAATTAAGGCCACTGACTCACATTTACTCTGATATGGATAGCTCAATTTTTCACCATTCCACTTTGGAATATCCATCGGTGACAATTGAAGAACGGCAACGGAATTCTTCAGTTTCGTTTAAACTCACCAAAGCATAGTTTTATTATAAAGACGGATAGTGGCTAACAGTGGAATTCAGGATGTGCATTTCGTCTTATTTTGGACTGGTCAGCCTGCCTCCCAGTGAGTGGTGTTGTCCCCGCCGGGATTCGAACTCAGAAGTGATCGCTTCAAACGTCAAAGCGTTATCCACTGCACCACAAATCCGCAACAGCCACTTGTTGTGCGACGGGTATAGTTTTAATGTTGGTGCTTGTATTATAGTTTTATTTCCATATAAGGCAACAGATACTGATTTGCTACACGTGCAATAGTTTTCAAGAATCTGATAGGCAAAAATTTGGACCCACTACATTCATGGTCATAAAATAATCCAACTTTTCTTCCTCACTATTCAGTTTTCTGTCCATATTTTTACGGGGTAGAGTCAGTTGACGATAAATTATCAACCATCAGACTCGTAAATTTTTGACTGGACAGTTCAAAATCGGTTATTTTACCTCATATATACTAATTCTTTATGGTTTTATAAATCGTACACAAATTACTCTATATCTGTTCATCCATTTCTTTCTCGATTAAACACTAGAATATGCCTACTTCTATCAAGTCATAAATATGAAAGTTTAGACGCTTAGTGAATAAAACATGAAAATAGAAAAGGCACGTGATAAACTTTTAATGTTACAGGATTATTGTTATGCTTCTAGGATTTATTTTATAAATGGCCATATATCTGACAATGGGATTACTAAGATAATAAATAATTGACAAGTTTTATAAAAAAGAAAATCAAGTATTGTTGCTTTCCAAGATATTCTTGATGGTAAACTCGGAGTCATTTACTCATTTGTATAGGAGTGATTGGTACATACACTGTGTCAATGTTCAACATAGACATAGATCCACTTTCTGTTTCCCCAGTATCCACGTATTCAGTATTGAAACAGTGGAGAGTATTTGTAGCTCAGGTGGGGACGATCTTGGTTGTATTGTGTGTTCTCTGAGCTGGGTTGTTGAACCGTCCTTCTAGATGACATCAAAGAAGACAAACCGAATATCATTTACAAAATCAATTGCAATAACTGTAGTCAACACTACACATTGAAGAAAGTGGCCACCTTCTTCACCGTAGTCTACATGAACACCAATTGGCTATTAAACGTCACACATGACATTTCGTCACTCATTTCAATGCACCTGGATAATTATGGGCATGAATTCAATTTCGACAATGTAGAAATGTTGCACGGAAAGAGGAAAGAAAGAATATCAGAGAATTCCTATAAGCTTGGCATTCAAGTCAGTCAGTCAGCAATCAACAGATGTATAGACATAGACGCAATCTATCAACCAATGAGCAAGATGGTAAATGACAGAAAGGTCAGATGTCAAGCAGATGAACAGTCAACAGGAAAATCTATACAATCAATGGCACAATAATCAAAGGAAATAATCCATCATAGACCGCCTCGTCAAGGCAGACTACTAAATCACTCACGGAGAGATATTGACAGCTCACTCACTTCATACTGAAGTTAGTGTTGATGATGTTGCTGTCCAGAAAAACGATGAAAGCCTCACGATTAAACAACCCAGCTGAGAGAACACAATACAACCAAGACGTATTCAGTATTTTGACATAAGTACTTATTTACAGTTGGTTGTACGAACATTTTTTATGGCAAAGCAATCATTTATCTTCTACTAGTTGTTACTATAGATGCCGAAAATGTTGTGCAAGCAAGATGTGTTATAGTTTAACTACAAGTGATAAGTGGTATAAAGGTTTTTACATAATTATAATTAGATTACTGGCAATATCGAAGCATCTGCACAGGAGCCCATATGCTAGTAGAGACCGATCAATTCCGTCCAATCAACGACGGTATCATATAAAAACCCTTATACTAATAACTATACCCGTCGGACAAGAAGTGGCTATCGTGGCTCGGTGGTGTAGTGGATAACGCACTGGCGTTTGAAGCGATCGCTGCTGAGTCCGAATCCCCGTGGGAACAATATCACTCACTGGGGAGCAGGTACATCCAGCTGACGAGTCCCAAATAGGACGAAATGCGCATCCTGGATTCCACTGCTAGCCACGATCCATCATTAATACAAGTGATAAGCGCTATAGTGACAGCCTTGCTATCAGCTTTGTCTTTAAGACTTCTAATTGAGACTAAGTATCATGTTTCTTCTCGGAAGTTTCTTGGTGTAAAAAAATTAATCAATTTAGTACGAAGCAGTTTTCTCGTACATGTTCTCAAGATGCATCGATTCGCAGTGGTCGTAGGCGATGTCACTCAAGGTACTTTTACTAAATATTAAGTATTCATCTTGGTTTCTATGTGGTCGCGGTCGATGCTGTTAATCATACTAGAAGTTAGAGTCATCTGAAAAAGGAACAGATGTAATCGAATTGTTGCTATTCTGTCTACTTCATTGTTATAGTGTGAAATAAGATTTCCAAGAGGCCGTAAATCTATGAAGCCTTTTACAACCAATCGTTTTGCTTCAAAGTTCCGAGAGAGAAAACATGTGAACCAATTTTTAAAAATATATTGGTTGACCAGGCAAAAATCAATAGGCTATTGAAATCTAGAAAGGCCTAGAAATAGTCAAGGCCATTGTAAATATATGTAAACCGTTGTATTCTGTATATGTTTTGACGTTTCATGTACTTCCTGTTATGTAACCATCTTTTTCCAGTTGCGGAAAAATCGAAAATTAAAACGCGCCCAGTGACCTTGTGCACATTCGTGTAGTAGGCACTGAGTCACCCCTTTTATATGTGGGCTAGCGATACTACCTGGCTGCCCAAACCTCAGTAGGTGAGGCAGGGTTCGAACCTGCGACCCAGTGGTTGAAAGCCGTCCTCCTAAACCAACGATCCATAGCTCCATTTGCCGAGGAACTTAGCGACCATCAAGGGTGGAATCTGAAAGTTATTGACCGAAGGATATTCTTCAATGTAGTATCTAACTAGAAACATTTCTGTCCTCACTCTTGTTCAAAGTGGAGCATAATACATGGTTTATTCACAATGTCATAATATCATAAACCTTCATGCATCAAATGTGTTTCACAGCTTAGTAGTATGTAAAACCTGTATTAGGTCGGTGAGTTAAAAATAGAACGTCTATCCTTCAATACTATTTACAATCGTCTGTTGACTTCTCACTCTTTGATTTAGTTGTAATGCGACAGATCAGATGATACCCCCACCTCTTTCGTTTTCATCATTTCCGTATTTGACATCAATTTATGATCAAGAATATTTCTCAATTAAATCGATACTCTCAAAACCAATAACAGTAAATTCTACCTTTCCAACTGTAATTTAACATTGAATGTTGTTTACAGTTTTTGAAGGTCATTGATAAGTAAGCGCACACTGATTTACCATTATTGTTTACTGTATACATCTTTGTTGAAATTTTATTTCAATTTCTGTTGTGGCATGTGATGTGGTTTACTTTTCTGATTGTTTATGTTATTTCTCTGTGTATACATAAGTTGTGTCATTGTCTCTCTTATCATGTCTATTTCTAGAAAATATTTTGATGGTGATGAAGAATTATGCAGTTGTTTACCAACTGAGATAATTCCAGCTTGTGGTAGTGTTGGTAGCTATTCCGCCTCGTTGACATCACCAACAAGAAGTAGTCCAGGCTCACCTTACAATACATTGGATAATGTGAAAACATCATATCTACCTATCAGTTCACAATCTGTAGATCGGTCATTGAAACAAGTCTTTTCATCACAATCACATAATCATGATGCGTTACCATCGTCATCATCATCAAGGTCAATGGATGGATCTAATCTATTCAGCATTGATAATATGTTATCATCGTCAACTTGTCAAACAGATTTAGAACAACAACAACAACAACAACAACAAAATCCTGATTTATTTCATCGTTCTTCATTTCAAACATTTGTAAATCATTCATTAATTGCTGGAGCAGTCTCTGATGTTTATCACAGTGGACATGTGTTACAGGCAACAGTTGAACAGGCGGAGAATTTCAAACCACGTTTAGAAGAGAATTTAATTCAATGGCTCACTTATGGTCCACTTGTTTTTAGTGATTTCAACAACTTGTCATTGAATAACAACAATTTCAGAATACATGAAACGGTTAAACCTAATCATCCAAATCAAATATCAAGTAGTCATCATACTAAGCATCCTAAATGGTCAGCTACAGGTTTATTAATTAACTGTGATACAAAAACTGTTGAGGTGAGGTTAAATGTTTTCTCATTCTCTTTCTTGTTAGTGATTAATTTATTATAGCTATTTATTCAGTAGGCGATAAGTTGCCCATATTATCCGTAATAATTTCTCCGCTTGTTTGGTATCATTTGTCTTATTTTAAAAGTTCACAGTGTTTCTAGTCACCATTTGACGTTCAGGTTTGCCTAATTTACTGCCAAACATGCTTCTTGATTGAGAGGCGAATCATAAATGTATGAATTTCACATTGTGTGTAGATTTTGATCATTTCCACATTTCAGATAACAAATATCCCCTTGTTAATGTGAAGAATGTTGACTAATGTGGTTACAGAGGCTGCATTATTCCCCTCATTCACAACGATGGTCGAGTCCCCACCATTATCGGGCTGTTTAAACAAGTAGAAATTGACATAACTTTATATTGCCTGTAAAAGGAATTTTTAAGCTGAGTTGAACACCGCCACTATTCTCCTGACTAGTTCAGTGATTTTATAGAGGCTCTAAAATGGCAGTTCTTGTCTTCATTTTTTCTAGTAACCACTGTTGTTGCTATACTATCAGCTTATTGTTATAATCTGTGTGATCACGATGGATATCGTAGTTTTTACTACTCCACGTACTTCAGTTGAACTGTGGGTTGTGATTCATTGACTTACTTAGGCCACCTGTTTCATTCCTACTCACATACCGACATTTGGGCAACTCAACCGTCATATAAATAGGTGTGGTCATCATTTGGTCCTCAAAACTACACAGTTACGCTTGAGCATAAACCGCTAGTTCGAGTATTATTAACTTTTCGTGATACAATATGTTATGATGCAGAGTTGTGAGAACGAACGGAAATACTTACCGATTGATGGTCGAGAGTTGAGACAATTCAACCCGAGCGATTCGCAAAAAGAAATCAAAGGATGAGATCAAATGAGTTTATAGTATCTCGGAGTGAAAACGTTTATTCATGATGATTCATGAAAACGGACCCTATTTATGGAGTTTACAGTAACCTTGAAAGACAAGGAGTAATTAGTACATTTAAAGAGGCAGGAGCCAATCAAAAGAATAGCAGGTCATACGAAATATTACCCATAAGCGTGAAAAAAGCGCGAAATCAAACAGCTCAAATGTATACAATTTGTAAGTATAAAATATAAGGGATATAGACATCCCTAACAATATTATTATGATTCCTCATAGCTGCTAACAATGCATGGATATAAACTGTCAGTCATTAACGTCCAACAACTTGTAAGTTGAACATGTAGGAACGTGTATGTAGGCCGAAGACCGAAGTCAATGAACAAAAGAGAATATCATATTGTCTATCTGATATAGACGTGGTTTGGCAGACTATTATTGATACTGCATGGTGCTTGAATATGAAAGGAACAATTAGATCGCGGTCGGATTTGAACCAGTGACCATCGGCTTTCCAGCCCGATGCTATATCAACTGAGCTACAGGGTAAAACATAGGGCCGGAAACCTGGGTTTCGCTAGTTCGAATCCGGCCATGGTCCAAATTTTCATTTCACCTTCAGTCACCACCCAGTATCAAAAGAGAATATATCTGCGCAATACGTGATCCGGTATTTAAAGTGATAATATTCATTGGCCGATCTTGTATGTCAGTCTAACCGTAAACGTGATCAACTGGAAGTAGATTTTGACTGGTCCATTTCCGGACTAGTTTTTATCTTACTCTATCCCCTTATCAGATGTTTTCTACTAATTCCGGGTACACAGTTGATGTAAGAGAAAAATTTGATTGATGCTATCGCACTGCGTCGCTGCATTCATTTTGGTTCGTCACAATAATCTGATAATATGATGTAAAAATCTCGTTGGGAAAAATTTTGTGTTGCTTACATTGCATCACCTGTGTATTATCCATCTATGTGATATGATTCACTGCATCAACCTAGAAGTGTTTAACTAAGTTACATGAATTGCTTGAACTGTAATCGTTATTCTGTTTTTGAGGTTAGCTATTTTCGTGTTTGTCATATGCTCATAGCATCCATCAGAGAAGTCAGATTCATTACTTTCAATATAGCCCAGTATTCCTACAAAAGTTAAAGGTTCAAAGTGAATGTATGAAACCAGTTTGATGTGTACGAAAGTTCACCTAAAAGTTATGATACACATCCCAAACCTGTCGTGCTCGAGGACTTCTGGCTCCTAAAGAAGCAAATAATGAAAATGCGTAATCACATATGAAGCAGTGAACTAGTTATTACGTGAGAGCTAATTCTGCATCATGTAATGGGTGACATTTAAACCGTAGCACATCTACACTAGTTTCTACGTTGATTTGTTTACCTGTCTGGGTGAAATTCAAGTACTCAGATCAATAAACCACAGCTTTGAGAATAAATAGAGCATAAGTCAGCGGCAACCATCATAATGATAGAATGCGGCAGATAAAAAAACATCGACGAAATGATTCACAGAATCAACATAGAACCTCGCACACAGGTGCATCAGCTCAGGTTGCCACACTTCATAATAGTGTTCAAAGAGCAGATGGATAAAATTAGAGTCATATCAAAGTAGACAAAGTTGTGTGAGAGAATAAACAATCTATAGATAACAGTTAGTGCAAATATTCAAGTTCTAGATGTCATGGAGTGAATGCATACATCATTGTGACCCATTTCCAGCCAGAATCCCCCAACTACTGATTTTTTTCGTCTCGGGAACCCCCACCGGGTAGTCTACATCACCCCATACAGCTCAGACCAACAGTAAGAGACTTCATGAACTGGACCCGCATCTTGGTCTAGCATGGCACGTAGAGGTAGATGGGGGCTCACAATGCACAGTACATGTCCAAACCATTTCAGTTTACCAAGGTTCACAACTTCGGTCAATAGCTGCTATCTTGACGTGGTGGTCGGACTTGTTTATCACAATGACCTGATGGAACGCTTGTTTCTTTCGAAGTCCTACCATGCCAGAAAAGTCTCTTAGATAGTGGTAAAACGAAAAGTAGTCACCATTGTAGTGTAAATTACTACACTTTGATGAGGGTCTGGGGGTGAAGTCGAACTGTTGGCTGGCTGGATTGTAATAGCAGTAAGGTGCTTCCCTTGGATGACCAATACTACCACGTTGATATTGCCTTCCCAGTGGGGATAGAGGTGTTAAGAAAGGTCGGTCCTCCAAATAACAAACTTCACTTTGCCCGCGTGGTCTTCCGATACCTGTGATATGGGTTCTTTCTATTCCACTTTCGAACGACTAACCATCGAAACAATAAACAGTCGTAGCTTATAAGTATAATTTGGGGGTAGATTTCATTCGAATATTGATTGTATGCATTTTCTCATGCAAATGAGAAAACTGAATTCAATACTCAAAAATACTTGTTTCGTGTTATACTTTAAATGAATCGACTTTCCACATTCGTCTTTTTGTTTGCAACTTATAAAATACCCCAAGACAGACTGCTATGAACCTGAGTAATATTTAGAAATTTTGATAAACATGTTGGTTGCCGTTGTTTGGAACTTTTATGGAATAACTTTTGGGAAATATTGGTGTTTGTGACATACGATAATATAATTAATACATTATATGTGAAGATATGGTCCATTAGATTAGGCACTTGATCTTCAAACAATGGACTTCGGGTTCGAACCCTCCTCCACCTACTTCTACTTAGGTAATCGGGTCGAGTCCTAAGCAGTGTCTACAGACATTTTCTAAAAGTTTTTTCACATCTTACACCTTTGTGCTGAAGTCTACTTTTGATTACTATGTAACTGACAAGGCTATGGTATAATTTTTTTTTATTTAACACACTAGGCCTTAACTATAGTTCAACCCAACCTAGCCAATATAGTTTTAACCAAGGAAGTTGAAGTTCCAAATCCAATTCATGTTCGTGCTACTCCACCTGTTGGTAGCGGTATACACAGTGGACGAGATCGTGCTAAAATAATATTAGATCAAACAGATTCAATGGAACAACAACCATTACTAGTAACACCAGTTCATGCACTTACCTCATCTGTATCTCGACGTCATCTACAAATTAAGGCTGCACCTTTAGTATCTCGTCTTATTGAAGAAACGCATATGGTGTTAGAAACAACAAATTGTTCATTGATGACACTAAAACATTTGGAGAGTAATTTACAATTGATTTATCATAAAAGTATAATACTGACAAATTTATTAATCAAAGAAGGCTCTAGCGTACTTCAGCGAATTGATCGAATGATGATTGCTGCAGGGTAAGTAATAATCTTTTATGTAATACAATGAAACTTCTTCTTCTTGTATATTGATCATACTGTTGAGCCTATTTTTACATTTTTCTATTGATTTGTCAACGTGTAGAAGATTAATTAAGTATCAGTTGAACCATGGGCTCTAAACAAAGCTAAACACAGTTGAATGTAATGCTTTCACCAGTCTATCATTCCTCTTATGAAACCGAGTGTAAAGCGTAGGTGAAAATATCCTTTTTTTTTTTATTCTATCCGTTGGAGGTTTCGATAGAAAACCTTCTGATTACAATGCACATTAAGAAATTACTGGAATTGATTGCTGTATATAGTCTTTTAAGATGTATTTAGGCTTGTTTCTCCTCTTACTATTCATACTTAAGTGTATGAGGGAATATGGTGATGTAACCTTACCTTACCATGGTATAGTCGATGGTTCTTATGTTAACATTTATAATAGTGTTGTAAATATGTTTATTTACTAAAGAATTCAATGAAACATAGAGAATATCATGAGACATAGATCTTAATTAACCTAGGAAGTTGTCAAAACAAGTATGAGTTTATCGTCTTAACCCCATGTATTACATTATGCATATCTGTATTGGTGAAAGAAAGTACAATTATCTTCATCTTATAGTATACAATAAATGTTTATGTTGTATATATGCAGATATGATATAAGCTGTTAGTGAAATAATTTATCTTTTACATGATTTGATACTGTCGGTTTAGCGTAAACATTCACTATCATCAGACCAATTTGGAACAGTATGCTGTCTATCATGTTCATCCATCTAATTTCTTACTTCAGTTAATTAAGTTATCATATGTATTTGTTTATAGTCACTGTTTTTGCTGAATATATACGTATATATGAGATGATGACATTTTTGCTGATTGATTGATTGATTGTTATACATTTTTGGACGTGTGAAGTGGATCACAACTGACCTTTAATAAACAAATGAACAGATGATTTTTAGAGTTAATTCATTATGTACATGTACATCGTTTGATTAGTTCAGGTTTTTTTTTTAAACGTTACGTTTGTCATTGTTAACTCGGAATGAATGTAATGTATATTGCATGTCTTGCTGACAACAAACAGGTGTTCATCCGTATACTTTGACTCTATAAGTTAATCCACTCATGATCATATAGAAAGGTGTTTATGGTGGATCGATTTCATATCTGCTAAAATGGTGTGGTGTTGTATTCGTTGACAGTAGTGGCTTCAGCATCTAGACTCTCATCTAATAGATCTAGGGGTTCTCCTCCAACTACTTCGACCTGATCAACCGGATAGAATATCATAGGCTATCATCCAAGGACTGAGAGCTAATTCATTACATAAACATCATCTAGTTAGTTGCATCTATTTATTGGCTAATTTCCAGTCGACTTTTTTCGATTGTAAATTTTCCGAACGTCATCAGAATTTTCATAATTTTTTTGGAAAGTATAAAGCTTAACCACTATGTGAAGGGAGTACCAAGCAAGTATGTCAGAATGATTAAGGCTCTTTACTTTAATTTACACAGTCGTGTAGGAGTTTATAAGCAGTTATCATCTGAAGTGATAACAACAAGCAGTATCCAGCAGGGACTCTCACTGTCACACTTTTTGTTTAACTTAGCTGTAGACGCACTATGGAGCATAACCCTGTATACCTGCAAGTTTATGGGGAAGGAATTTGATTAGCCGTAAGGACAAACCTGAGTATATTTGGCGTTCGTTTTGCATCTGTCTGATATAAAATAGTGCTTCAAGACTAATCTACAGTTATTCCCTTGGTTGTGTTGCATTCACTTAGCTGGATGGTTTAAATCGTCGGGCTTCCATTGTCTTCCTAGACAATATTCTCAGCACCAACTTCAATACCAAGTGACCTATTCGGATTTCTGCGTGACTATTCAGGGGTGGATCGTGATTGTCATGTCACTGATTGTACAAGTTTTTCTATTCCCCGTCTCTCTGCCTGACCTCTGACCTTGTGATTGTTTATCATTTTCCTTATTGTTTGGCAGATTGGGTCTATGTCTAACCTGAATGCTAAGCGTCCGGAAATTTTTTCTTTGCGTAGTACATAGAATGGAAGTCATCATTTTACGCTTTATCAAATCGAAACTCTGGATCTATTTTGTGCACGATACCTTCGTTATCATTAAAAAGAATAAATTTTAAAAAAACGTTCATAGTTTGATTAGCAACGTTTTTGGCAATATCGAATTCATAGTGGAGAAGGAGTTAAAGAACTAACTGCTATTCCTGTTGTTTGAGTCAGTACAACTAGTGTTAGTGTACTGGAAGCCAACAGCACATCGATCAAATCCAAAAATATATTAACAATAACCCCATTAACGTACAAAATTAGTTGTGTACAGACTTTATCCAAAAGAGTAAGAACACACTGCAGTACGACAACTTTACGCGGAAATGAAGAAAATTACTTGACATCTGTTTGAAAGGAGGGCGGTCACACACGTGACTTTATCAGAAGAAGCCTATCTAACTCATCAACCACAGAAATCACCGAACGGATCACCCTAATATACGTGAGGCATATATCGCGACAAGACTACAGCAATGGCCAACAGGAAAATCTATGCAGTCGGTGACATGACCATCACAATCTACTTCTGAATAAGTCAGGCAGAAATTCGAATACCTCACTTGGTATTGAGGATGTTCTCTAGAAAGAAAATGAAAGCTCTACTATTAAACCATCCATCTCGAAGAGCATAACACAACCTATATGATTCACCTTAACTGAAAATATTCTTTAGCAGCTGTTTCTATTTTAAGGATAATAGGTGAATTGGTTGAATGCGTTAACCACCAATTTATGAAGTTGCATCAACTCGAATAGGTTGGTTGTTGACGAGGTCCTAGATGAAATGAAGAGGAATTATCTGTGATTGTTAAACCTACGTCTCCGGTAGCACCAGTGGCATATCTGACCACCTATTAAATGAACTGTGCCGCAGTCGGCTTTTTTCTTTCTGTGCCGTTGTAAAGTGTGGCAAATTGAACCTATGCGCTTCTGTGGGAGTCTCTGCGTTGATTTTTCTATTGATCTAGTAGTTCTTAAAATAGGATTATTTTTGATGTAGAACTTTGTTGTTGGTAGAGAGTATTAAAAAAGGTCATGAATTCACATAAGGAATGCTTTTTATGGTCATCGCTCTTCCTGTTTCAGTGAGTAGGTGCAGTTAAAAGTATCTTCGTACTATTTGTATGGCTGACTAGTCTAAGAATAACCAAGTCGAGAATATTGTCGAAGTTCTATAAGAAATCATAGTTTGTAGAGAATTCTATTCATATCGAATTTTTTTCATCGTATGACACTTCTTTTTTGAGTGTAAGTAGTAGTTATATTCATTATGGACTGACATCAGTTGGGGGAACCATTGAAAACTTGGGAGCACTAGACAGCTGTTTCGTCCTAGTGTCAGACTGTTTAACAGTACACGCACCCACTACCCGACTAGACGTCGCACTCGGAACATTCAGGTTTCACAGTGAACGCGTTGATCATTCAGCCACTGGTGGTAGTTCAACTGTCCACAGTTTCCAACTAGCGATCGAACCCAGAATCTGCAGGCTCCTTTGTCAGGACACTATCATTGAGCCACTGCATTGGAATCCAAGGATCGGCATTGGCTGAATGGTTAACGGGTTCATTGTAAAACCTGAAGTTCTTGAGTTAGATCCCTAGCCGGGTCGTGGGTGTGTACTGCTGAGGAGTGACATACTAGGACTAGTGCTCCTAGATTTCCTAGGGTTCCCTAACTGGTGTCAGTCCGTGATGAATACTACCCTCTAAAAAGTTATCTGATTATATCAAGGCTTGTCTTTTGTTTTATAGCTACCAATATATGCAAGTGATATCATACCATTTTAATTGATCACAGTAAGATTTCAGTTCAGTTATCATGAAAATGTTATTGTTGGAGAGATAATTGAATTGGTGTTGTTTTTCTCCGTTTCTTGCACATTGTCTAGATGTTTACCCGACGATTTACCCTTATTGCTATCGATTACATCATCTTGTTCTGCACAGGCTGCTAATATTCTACACACTAGTCATTTCGATTGGTTGAATTTGTGATTTATTTCTCAGTTTTAAATGGATGAATGAAATAACTATGTAGTATTGAGACCAATTCCTTTGATTTTATCCCATTTACTTACCTGCTACTTTTATATGATCCTCAGTAAAATTCGAAATATTTTTCTAATCAAGCATTGTTAATATGTAATTAATGCATCATATTTTATTGAAATTTCACTGTGCTGTTCAAAAGCTTTTAAGTGTCTCATTGTGTTTAAAACATTCATAACATTGATTTAAAAAAAAAAAGCAACAGTCTGAACGAAGAATATTTTAAGTTTGTCATTCATGGAATGATATTCACTGATGAATAATGTAATGGTGAAGAAAATGACAATGAATAAAGAAGACAGAAGTGGTGGTTAGTTTACTGAATGAAGGTTAAAGGAGGAATAACATTTGAACATAATCTTTATAGATGTGCACAGTTCAGGTTTGATTAACCTTATTGCGATTGTTTCAGCTGCGGTGGTGGGCTTTATGTGGTATTGTTTTTGGAATACGATATATGACATTATATGCTGTTTTTTTAAGCATCTATGTTATACCCTATGCGAATCTGAGAAAGGGGGTATATTATAGCTCAGACGTTGATTAGCTCATCATGAAAATGTATCGAATCATTGATTACCTTTTCATATGTAAAATGAACTTATAGATGAGCATTGTTAAAATGCTTCAGAATAGAATTAATGCATAGACATGCATAAAAAAAACTGCAGAAGTATCATCTATCTATTGACAATGCAACTCCATATTGACAATTTGATCTTTTAAAGGATTAATTTCGCCAGAAATATTGTGGCATCTCATAGCCACTCTGTTAGATTGTCTGTACAGACTACTATTTTAAAGATGCATTGAATATTCATTGTGCATTTTGGCATTAGTTCCTTGAAATTCATGATAGGAATGCCAGTGTTTAATTTCCTTTCCAATAATTATTCGCAAATGCTGTCTTTCACGCTACAATTCGTTGACTGGTCACACAAAGGCTGAAGTTACTGTACTAGCCATTTAGCGATGACGTGATAGGTTGAGTTAGTCATGTCTAGGATGAGGTGAAGGGGTCCTTTAGGTGTGTGCTTTTTCCATATGATTGTACACTGTACAAAATGCACTTTGTAGTTTTAAAACCTAATGAGAATATTTTTCGTTCACTATGTTTAGTTGATAAGCTTGGTTGTTGTTGTTATGTAAATTCTCTTAATGATAACAATATTATAGAAGTAGTATTCGTCGTGGACTGACAGTTGGGGAACCATTGAAAATTTGGGAGCACTGGACAGCTGTTTCGTCCTAGTATGGGACTCCTCTGCAGTACGCACCCATGACCCGGCTAGGGGTCGAACTCAAGACATTCAGGTTTCACGGCGAATGCGTTAATCATTCAGCCACTGGGTCGATTAGGTATAGAGCTCATTAGTGACTTGCTTCCAGATGGATGTCAAAGAGTTCTAATGAGAAGCCGTGACCTGTGCGGTCAACCAGTCGGAAGTGAAATAGATGCTAACTGAAGACCTTCACTGATAGTCACGCTATATCGTGAATTGACAGAAGTTGGAAATTGTGAATCACTGGAAACCGACCCAGTGGCTGGACGGTTAACGCATTCGCCGTGAAACCTGAATGTCTTGAGTTCGATCCCTAGCCGGGTCATGGGTGCGTACTTCAGAGGAGTCCCATACTAAGACGAAACAGCTGTCCAGTGCTCCCAAATTTCCAATGGTTCCCCAACTGTCAGTCCATGATGAATACTATTTCTCAATTAAAAATCCCCATTCATCTCAAAAATGCAAGATTCATACTTTTGAGTTGAAAGCCCCTTTTTTAGTCCATCTTTTCTTCCATTCGTTGTCATATCCCTTATTCTACGCTTTCTCTGTGCGGATTTCTCTTCTTTATTTTCTATATCTCTCACTGTAATAATTTTCTTACATGTGCGCATGAGTAAGCCAGATTCTCACCGGAACCTTCAGATTTACCATACTTCACGTGCATAATCTCCTTTTAGTAAATTACTGATTATTTTCGCTTTAGGATAGGGAAAACTTGTAGTAACTAAAGAGAAAAGAATGAGTAGTAATTATTGAACAGAGATTAGGTGTATGAAATACGATAAATCTAAAGGTTTTTGTGGGAATCGGGTTCATATATGCAAACGTAAGAATATTATTATTATTATTAGAGTGATAAAAAAACCTGGTAGTGGGAATTTGCCTTCCTTATTTTGAAAGATGATGAAATCAATTTAGGGAAACTACACAATTCTTGATGTTTCAGTTTTGTTGCAATACAATGTATGTTGAGTCTCTGTTTAGGTTCAGGTATCATCTAACTGCTTTAGTCTCACTTAATCAGTTGGCGATTAGTGTCCGTAAGTAAGGTATGTGCTTTGCACGGCTACCTTTGGCGCCGTCGGGTTTACAACGCTTTGGTGAGAGCAGTTCTGCTCTACGCTTGTGAAACCTGGCCTCTCTGAGCTGGAAATATATTGTGACTGTGTTTGATAATGTATGTCTCCGTGGGATTGCTCGTTTCCGATAGCGACACCATGTAAGTAGTTTTGAGGCATGACAGCGTATGTTTGGGCATGATAGGGATCGTCATTCAATAAGTGAAGTCACCTGAAAACACCGACTTCGGTGGCTTCAACATGTGTCACGCATGCCACCCCAAAGTCTTGTTCGCTAACCTTGGGACTGGATGGAGAAAGCGAAGGGATGGTCAGTGTATGACGTTGCGCCGTGGGATCAAGCATAGTTGTACAGGATTAGCATCTTTTAGTGCTTCACACGTTATCAGATATGGCTCAGAATCGAAATCAGTTGCGGTCATGCTGTATTTTCCTTCTATCTTCTGTTGAAATGTAGTAAATTTACCTTACCGGACTGGCTTTCTAATCATACTGTTTTTATTGCATTTTGTTTTCATCCACTTCTCTTTGCTTTATGTCTTCATAAAGTTGTATTCTTTGCCATTGTTGTACTACGTTTGTGTTCCAGTAATAATAATTGCTATTCATCCCCATCATATTTCGAGATTCAATGAACGCCTAGCTTGGCATCCAAGCACTTCACTGATTCCTTTAATCTTATGAGCCCCAACCAAGTGGTCTACATTCCGCAACACGGCTTAGACCAATAGTCAGGGACGTCATCTACTAGCGCAAAGTCTCGGATTGGCCACCTCAGTCGATGAAGGTTCGCAACCTTATCGATGGACTTACCTAGTATTCTT